ATCCTGCGGTCAGCAAAGGAATTGACGAGATGGCAAGTACAATAACCTCCAAAAGAACTCCTACTCAAAGAGCATACCGGTGCAGACAAAAGAACAAATCCTGGGTGACTGTAGATTTCCATTCTTCCTCATTCCTCGCTTTCATATCCCTATTTCTCTCTTTAGGTTAAGTTAATTTTAAGGTAGTTTAAGAGTTAGTTAAGTAAGATTTACATATGTGGTTAGGCTAAAAATTGTTACACGCCTATTCTGCGGGAAAGTTATATTCTTGAATTGTATGAAAACCCAACAAAGAAAAAAAATCCTGACGTAATGCACCTCGAATTTTGTAAAGTTTTACAAGAACAGTTGGAATTCTTTAGAATCTAACCTGTTTGTCGTGAATAAAGAAAGGATTGTGTAACCTAAGAAGTTGTCGTGTGCCATTCCTTTTGTTTGTATGTTTCCTTCAAAGGCAACATCACATCACATAACGAACTATCACAATTCTTTGTGACTGACACTGCCCTTAATATGATGCTCACACTCACCATATGAGAAAGACAATGGCAAAATACTATTGGTTATAGAAAACCCAGATAAACCATTTCATCCACTCACCTGAAGTTTCTCCAACATCGTGGAAATTTTCAACTCTTTATGAACATAACAAAGCAACTCCAAACAAACCAACCCATTATCCAGTCACCAAACTTTGAACTGTTTCCCTCCTACCAAGGTCAACCTAAACTATTATTATCCAATCAACTGTAAACTTTCTAGTGATGTGAAACCCTTCTATTTCTTCTAATTTCATTGTCAACATACCTTGTTGCAAAACTGCCACGTGCCAGGAATAACTTGTAAACCGCACCTGTTTATGTACTTTTTCTACGTATCTATTTTACTATTAAGTGCAATTTTGATTATCTATATAGATGTATGTAAATTTTATGAGAGAGAGAGAGAGAGAGAGAGAAAGAAATATGTAACCATACTTCCACCCAAATAAAATCACACTATCCTCTAGGGAAGTGCAATTATAAAGAAAGTGAAGAGTGATGTGAGATCTAGGACCTGACTTTTGTTTAGTTTAAGGAAAATTTAACCAATTTCTCCATCGCAATCATTAAGAAAACATCACACAGAAAAAGGATTGAATGTCACCCTTCTCATCAACAAACGCTAAGAAATTATAATAATCTATTGTTATCTCTCATTTGAATATTGATGGGAATGTCAATATTCGAACGAGTAAACAGGATGAATCTAACGTTTCACAAACCAAATATTACACTATCTGCCCCGTTTAGATGACATATTACTGTCCTTGCCGGCCCGCCTATGACCCAACAGATGTACCTTCATCACCAAAAACATCCAATCACCTGGTACTTTTCCCAGGACAAAGGAGGATACAATGACGAAGCACCCAAACTTCGGGGTGATCATCCATTGGGAACAATCTCTCCCAGACCTGACTGTCCAGCAAAGATCTCTGTTAGACCGATCCATGATCATGCAAACAGGAAAGAGGTAGGATGCTTCACCAACTTTTGTAAACTCTCTCTTGGCCCCATAATGTGTTATTGATGAATCAGATAGATTATTATCCTTTATACTCGGCTCATTACTTGATATTACAATCCAACTCCTGTAACCTTTGTTTAGATTATAGTTGTTCATTAAATTTATTCTTATTGAGTTTGTTAATGTTGACTTTTGCTCGAGTATTGCCGACACTTTATCGACGACCTTGCTCACCCCCATTCGACCTGAAAAGCCAATCCCGGAACCTGGGATAACACACACTGAATACATGCCAACCACTGACAATGTGAGCGGTTTTCACCAGACCGTTACCAATAAACAGATTAAGATGCAGGCAGTAACCCTGGCTCCTCACAGTTTTATGGCTAAATTTTTGTATTATTATTTGTATTGTAACTAGATGTTTTTCTTGGTGTTTTTCTTGTATTTATTTATGTATTCACTTGATTCATAAGATGATTGTAATTATCAATACCAAACATGCACATTAGGTTTAAAATTTTCCTTTCTTTTACGAAAGGCAAATTTTTTTAAAAATCCTTTCTAGAACAGTTTTGTTTCTTCATTATAAATCGTAATCTTTGATTTTTCTAAGTTTAAAAAAGACTGCATCTTAAAGAGTTTGTGCTATTTGATTTAAGTGCAGGTAGAGAAGAGAACTGCAGATTTTATAGCTTCTTTTGTCTCAGAATAATTATTCTACAACAAGTATACATGAAGTTCGTTTACAACATGAGAACATAAGCAAGAGGAAGCTCCGATAGATTTTTCGAACAGGAAGAATGTCAATCTTAGTAGCCATAGCTGTTACAGCTAGAGGTTTACATATCAAAGATGTCTGCCATGTAATAAACTATGATCTTGCTAAAACAATCCAAGAACATGTTCACTGAATTGGCAGAACAGGGTGTGGCGAACGCCGCCCTTCACATCTGTACCCTTAACAGTTGTAAAATACAAGCAATTACCCCCGGGTGTATGAGTCATCACTTCCTGGAATAAATTCGAACTCACCCCACAAGACCGTCAAAAACCAGTTGTCTTTGTTAGCCGCGTCGTCAAGACATGTGCTGTACCAAGTACGCGAGGAGAATAAAAGTTTAGTTTTTGTTACGATCTCGTCTCGTTCGTTTCTTCCACTTGCAGCGACGAAAGATAAAAGCAACAACAACACAAAAACCACAAGGGAAAGTTGGAAATTTAGGAAAAGCTACCAGTTTTTTTTTTATTCACAGTCAGATGTAGACAGTCCTTCAGCAGTAGATTTTGTAAAAATACTACAAGATTCTATTCAAAAAGTGCCAGATTGGTTAGAAGCGGCCAGTGGTCATACAGGAATGTCGCAACAACAATCATTTACAAAAGGAAGCCGTTATGGTGCTAAAGATGTCAAAAACTCTATTAATATAATAAACATTAACATCGAAAAACTAACGTTAACATTTTAATCCTGGAATTCATCCTCTGCTGTAATCACACTGAAGACCTCAGTCTTTTGTAACGAATAACTGTCTTCCCACAAATCTTCAAAATGTTAAATTGTACTAACTTCAGCTTTTATGTATTACATTAACCCCCTTGTAATGAACTAAGGTTTGTTCAATAAAGAACTGAATTGAATTATTATATTAAAATATGTTTAATTTATCTTAAATACGTAATTTTTTACAGGAAATGATTTAAACTTAAATGCATTTTGTAAGTTATTCAAAAATAATTTTAAACTGTAGACACACTTTGTTCCAGAAACAATTTTAATTTGAACTTGTTCATGAGTCAGTGGCGTACCGTGGGTGTCAGCCGCCCGGGGCGGAGGAAAATTTCGGCCCCCCTTATTTAGATATTTCAATTTAAAAGACTAAAATTCAGTTTTGTCACAGAACAAGCAATGAAAAATTCGGTGGTAGTGCAGCGACCTGTTTAAAATAGTTCTATTGGATATTAGTGGTGTATATGAACGTGAATGAATCATACAAGAAAAAAAAACAAAAAGGTCAACAGGTTTCGCAGGAATTCCTCGGATGAAACAGCTACTAGTTCCCCCGGCGAGCCGATTCCCGGACTGTCCGGACGATAGCACTATCGTAGGCGTGATGCAAGTATAGATTAGGATGTTTCAAATTTTTACAAGATATTATTATTATTTATTGTGAAATTTTGCCGCCCCCTAAAAAGTGCCGCCCGGGGCGGGCAGCCCCTGCCGCCCCCACTACGGTACGCCACTGTCATGAGTAAATCGTTCGTGAAAATGTGTTCAATTTTAATGTAGCCATTTTGTTTTTCATTATATGCCTGAAGATGTCTGTTATAAACAAATGAAATGTCTGTTATAAAAAATTAAAACATTAGTAAATATTTCTTAATTTCAAGTGTGCTGGTATTGCTATGTTGTGCAGACAGTTTGTATTCATAGGAGTCGTTCGAATTATAGTGGACTATGTGTTGGTTTTATGTAAATACCTGTTGTTATACAATCTCCTTTCAATTGGATGTCTATATCTAAAAAATATATTCGTTCATGACTTTTTTGTTCTAGTTTAAGTTTTAAACCATTGTTGTTGCTATTATTGATTACCTGTACAAATTCTTGTATTATCTTGCCATTTTTCCAAATAATGCACACATCGTCCACATACCTTTTGTAAAATACAATATTCATCCTGAACCAGTTCATAATGTGCTTCTCCAAGTTGTATAGGACTAGTTTGCATAATAATCCTGACATCAGACTTCCTATTAGGTATCCCTTTCTTTTGTCTGTAAGCTTGTTTATCAAAACTGAAGAAGGACTCATAGCATATCAATTTGGCTAATTCCATCATATCATTTGCAAATGCAGCAACTTCTGGCTTTATTTTGGTATTTTTGAAACTGTGCCAGTAATTTTTAGTAATTCGAACACAAATCAATTATTGTATTTATTCAGACACTTGGCAAATCTCATCATTAAATCAACAAATCTCATCAACTGAATAAAATTTAATGATGAGATTTGCCAAGTGTCTGAATAAATACAATAATTGATTTGTGTTCAAATTACTATTCTGGCTTTATGTTGAGCATAAATTCCATTAATGCTTCATAACAGAATTCTATTTTTATAGATGGGTATAGGTTTTCATAATCCATAATCATCCCAATGTACAGGTAATCAAAAATAGCAACAACAATGGATTAAAACTTAAACTAGAGCAAAAAAGGCATGAACTGATACATTTTTTAGATATAGACATCCAATTGAAAGGAGATTGTATAACAAATTTAATAAACTTTTATTGAAGAAATTAAATTGGTGTTCATTATTAGTATAATAATTGAATTTTAAAATTTATATTTACTTTTTATATTTAAAACAATTTAAATTAAATAATAAATACAATGATTAATACATTTCTCAGCTCATAATTAAAATTTTAAAAACACATTTAATAAGATATTCTAATATAATTTATCAGAAATAGAATATTTACATTAAAATTATTCATCAGATTAAACACATTATCTAAAATTTTCTCATCCAAAATTTCTGGTGTGCACCACATTTGGTCATTTATAATCGCTTTCAAATCAAACTCTTCACAGGCATATGATATCATCAATGCTAACATTAAACAACCATAATGCATCTGAAAAATAAAATTTTTAATATATATCATTCATTTAAAATAAAACTTATAAAATTTAATTATGTATTTATTATATGATTTGTTTTCTGAAACCGTGTTTTAGTATTTATTGACTGTTGAACACAAGATTGTGTTATTAATTAAACACTTGACTTTTTTCCATCTTTATTCAGTTGATATGGGTACTTCTACACGTTTTGGACACTTAGCCTCTCATCAGTCAACTAACAATATATGTGGAGGATATATTTTATGGTGGGCAGTGATGTAGTGGTCACTTTACTTCTTTGCTTTATACACAAAATTATAGCAAACAGACTATAGGTATGTCAAAAAATGTTCAAGTGACACAGATGCAATCAAATGTGGGGTGTTCATATGAACAAAATAATTTTATGACGATGACAATAATCACAATTTTATATACCAAATAATTGCCAGATTATATTTGGCTATAATAATGCGGCTAATTATTAAGTAATTTGGTCTAGAGGTAGGGATTATGTGCCATCTCTTGATAAATTTAATAATTAATTTAGAAGGGTCTGGGGAAAAAGTCAGCCCACAGTGGGGACTTGAACCCACAACTCCTGTTTGCCATGCAAACAGCCTGATGTAATCCGGCAATCATTTGGAGTTAAACTAAAAATTGTTCAAATTGATAAAAAAAATAATAAAAATAAAAATAATATATAATGTTTATCAACAAATTTTAAATTATAACTAATACCTGTATCTAAGCTTATATTAATATTTTCTCATTGAATCTAAATACTTATTTTTGAGAGAATGGATGGGATTGATTGATGGAATAAGGCAGTGCAAAACTTGGGAAATCTGCCAAGAAAGAAGTGCCTTCCAGGAGTCTTTCTGTGGGAAACTGTCTTCTATTTAGATGTTAGACATGTGAAGAAAACCTAAAAAACTTTATGGCCAGCCTGTTGGTCAGGTACAAATGCATGACTAACTACAGTGTTTGGTAGTTTTATCCACTCAGACACTGGCTTATTAAAATTAAGAAAAGGTTTTGAGTTAGCAAGGAAATGACAAATTGATCAAGTTTTTAAAGAAAATAGGCATTTTGACAAATTTTCTGAAGATTAAAATAATAATAATAATAATAGTTAGCAAGGAAATGACAAATTGATCAAGTTTTTAAAGAAAATAGGCATTTTGACAAATTTTCTGAAGATTAAAATAATATTTATAGTCATTGAATATTTATTATGCATCATTAGATATAATAAAATGAAATTCACAATCATTTTAAAGGAATAAACAAATGATTAATTACATTTTTTCTATATTTCCAAAAACATTACTCTACCATAAAATGACTCAATTGAACAAAAAAAAGTCTTCTACAAAATTATAGTTTGCATACTAATTTTTTATAGCAGCTTATTTTGCAGTTAAGTACAGGATGATCATAATTAAAGAGCAGATGTTCAGAGATAGCTACATTGCTTTTAAGCACTATATTTAAACTAAATTAAAATACAAACAGATCATTATAATACTGAAAATAAAATAAATACATTTCAATTATAATAAAGTAACAATATTTTAATTTAATTAAGAGCACTTTCATTTAATAATTTAAGATAATTTATTAAGTCATTAAAAAATAAAACTAATAATAGGCTACAAAATAAAACACAGTGGACTAAAATTACAGAATGACCTTAAATTAAACCCAAATCCAGTAAAAAAAAAACAATAATATATATCCAAAAAACAAATGTTTTCAATAGTCTTCAGCTATCATTGACATTCAAAGTTACATTCTATTTTCAAACACTACACCTGAACCTGATGTGATAGCAAGCTATTATAAACATTTGTTTTTGGGTAAATATTACATTTTTTTTCTTTTACTGAATTTGGGTTTAATTTGAGGCCATTCCCAATTGATCAGTTTTTGTGGTGGTTGTATTATAAAATCATAAATATTTCATTTCTCAAAGCTACTGTTACTTTTTATTAACTAAGAAAGCACTACAGATTCTTAGTTATAAATCTGATAAATAATAAAAATTTAAATTAAACAATGTCTTCTTACCTTATTAATAAGTGAACCCTTCAATGCTGCACATTCATGATCAAAGCAAGATAATATATCACATATTATCAATGTTCTTCCTTGAATGGGATTAACATTTCGACGTGCAGCTATTTCTACAGCAGAATCAATAGCATGTTTATACTTCTTTAATAAACTTTCATCAAAATTTTTTAGCCTATAAATAAACATATAATTATATTATAGATTTCGGCTTAGAAATTAATAAATTATTTAATCTGCTTTCTCTCTTTTAATACTTTAAACCATTAACAACTTTTGAAAAACTATTTTAAAATATATTAAATAGCTAACAACATACCAAGAACCAATAACCAGTGTGCACAGATGCAAAACACTACTGCAAACATTTTCAAACTCCATCAGGGTTGTTCTTCAGGTGTTATAACAAACACCCGATGGAATGTTGTAAAAGGTTTTTTGGTTCTGAATACATTGTTAACTATATCCCAATGTGGTGTAGTGTAGTTTAATATTAAATAGCATTAGAAATATTTATTGCATTCCTTAAACAACAGTACATTTNTGGTCACTTTACTTCTTTGCTTTATACACAAAATTATAGCAAACAGACTATAGGTATGTCAAAAAATGTTCAAGTGACACAGATGCAATCAAATGTGGGGTGTTCATATGAACAAAATAATTTTATGACGATGACAATAATCACAATTTTATATACCAAATAATTGCCAGATTATATTTGGCTATAATAATGCGGCTAATTATTAAGTAATTTGGTCTAGAGGTAGGGATTATGTGCCATCTCTTGATAAATTTAATAATTAATTTAGAAGGGTCTGGGGAAAAAGTCAGCCCACAGTGGGGACTTGAACCCACAACTCCTGTTTGCCATGCAAACAGCCTGATGTAATCCGGCAATCATTTGGAGTTAAACTAAAAATTGTTCAAATTGATAAAAAAAATAATAAAAATAAAAATAATATATAATGTTTATCAACAAATTTTAAATTATAACTANTTATAACATCATTGAATATTCTTTTACTTATTTCATAATCATATTTATATTTTGTTGCTCTGATGTGTGCACTTAATCTAGTTTCAAATTTTCTGACTCTCTCCCACATAATTCAATTGTGAGGCTTTGGACAGGGTCTGAACACTCATCAAAATTTACCCCAAAAATTGTTGAAATAAAAAAAGAATCCCCAAAACCCCAAAAAAAGACAAAATATTTTCATTTAAAGTTACTCTGGGATAAGAACTGATAAATAACATAAGTTCTAAGATTAACCATCACTGTTTGGCATCAGATTTTTGTATCAAATTAAATGTTGATGTCAACCTCTTTTTTTAGCCCAAGCTGGTCTCAAATTTTCCCTGGAAACTGGTACAAGACCAATCACAGAAAGTGTAGACAGGAATTTGGACCAACAAAATGAGCAATCAAAGAGCTGAACAGATATAAACCCATATCTCAAGAACACAAGACTCCTTCTCAAAAAGTTCTTTTTCAACAAAAGTTCTTGTTCCTCTCAATCCATTTCTTGTTTTTTCTCTCTTTTAGGTCCCTTACAGACCAGGTGTCTTTCATTTATGTTCTTAGCAGATTTGTGCAGTCCGCAACATACCAGTCTCTCTCTTGACCAGCAGATAAGACTGTCACCCTTTTTCCTCAATCTTTGTAACTCCTAATAATATTTTATATCCTCATCATGTTTTAAATTCAACAAACATCTACCGCATAAATGCATAAATTCTTGATTGCATAAATGGACTAATAAATATCCAAGAAAAATAGAATAATCACTCAAATTATACTCCTACTGGTTTTTTTACTGTTTTTATTCACTAAAAGGAAATAAAGATTGTGTTTCTGATAGGAGCATGGACATGTAACATGTAGAACCTCAATGTCACTAAATTCACAATAAACAAAATGCGACAAACCTCAGACACCATTTTACCTGGGACACAGAGAAATCAGAATTCTTCATATACTAGGACAGTGTTTTAGTAACTTTCATTTTGAGTAACATCAATCGTCTATCAAAGATTTAAAACCAAAATTCTCTAATTTAGAAGCTTGTAACATGGATGACCATACTGAGGACTCTAAGAACTCTCTCTCTCCAATAAATAATGTATGTTTATAAGAATGCCTTGCCACAGTGTCCATACCACTGTACAGTACATACATCATTTCACCCTTCAGTATCATCCTAAACATTTGATACTCTGTCTCTCAAGAAAGTTTCTCTATAGTTTGATATTGGGGCCATGAACAGCTTCATGGGAGTCCTCACACAATGCTGGTTATATCATCATCACATATACAAGATTAAAATAAATCTTCCTGAAGCATGTCCTGTTTAAATTTAAAAAATGAAATAATTTATCAAATATTTTTCATTCTAAATTATTAGATATTATTTCTTCTCAACATCTACTAATTCGGATTAAAGTGACATATACTAAATCTATTAGATATTACTCAGAAAAATTTTAAACAAAGTAAAATTTCAAAAATAATGCGTTTAAAACATTTTTGTAATCATCTTCATGTGAATATCATCTCTTAACTTGTTAGTATCACGAGAGTAAAAATTATTATAAAAAATTAGTATTAGTTTTTATACCTTTGCCAAATTTTATTTTCCAATTTTACTTTCCAGGCAGGAAGTGCTTGTTTTCTTTGAACTAAATAAGTTGTTGGTCTTTTTGATTTCAGTAAATCAGATTCAAGCAATGACTGTAATTCTTGAATTGCTTGATAAGCAGCAAAAAATCTCAAAGGAAACTGTTTACTTTTTATCACTGCTTTCTGAAATAAAATAAAAATACAAAATATTTACTTATTTCTACTGAAGCTGCAATTATTAAAAATGACTTATGAACCACTTTTCCAGCTGTATAATGTTTATTCTTGTGTACCAAGTTATACTGTAAGTAAATACTTTCAGCTCTGTTCAGGGCCCACTTCAGGTCAGAGAAAATTGAGAGTAAGTCGAAAACTTTATGTTCAGAGTTCCTACTCAAATCTTTGTTTTAAATTCCATGACTTCCTGACTTTTCTTGATCAACTTTGTACAAATTCCATGACTATAATAGGCTACAAAATAAAACACAGTGGACTAAAATTACAGAATGACCTTAAATTAAACCCAAATCCAGTAAAAAAAAAACAATAATATATATCCAAAAAACAAATGTTTTCAATAGTCTTCAGCTATCATTGACATTCAAAGTTACATTCTATTTTCAAACACTACACCTGAACCTGATGTGATAGCAAGCTATTATAAACATTTGTTTTTGGGTAAATATTACATTTTTTTTCTTTTACTGAATTTGGGTTTAATTTGAGGTCATTCCCAATTGATCAGTTTTTGTGGTGGTTGTATTATAAAATCATAAATATTTCATTTCTCAAAGCTACTGTTACTTTTTATTAACTAAGAAAGCACTACAGATTCTTAGTTATAAATCTGATAAATAATAAAAATTTAAATTAAACAATGTCTTCTTACCTTATTAATAAGTGAACCCTTCAATGCTGCACATTCATGATCAAAGCAAGATAATATATCACATATTATCAATGTTCTTCCTTGAATGGGATTAACATTTCGACGTGCAGCTATTTCTACAGCAGAATCAATAGCATGTTTATACTTCTTTAATAAACTTTCATCAAAATTTTTTAGCCTATAAATAAACATATAATTATATTATAGATTTCGGCTTAGAAATTAATAAATTATTTAATCTGCTTTCTCTCTTTTAATACTTTAAACCATTAACAACTTTTGAAAAACTATTTTAAAATATATTAAATAGCTAACAACATACCAAGAACCAATAACCAGTGTGCACAGATGCAAAACACTACTGCAAACATTTTCAAACTCCATCAGGGTTGTTCTTCAGGTGTTATAACAAACACCCGATGGAATGTTGTAAAAGGTTTTTTGGTTCTGAATACATTGTTAACTATATCCCAATGTGGTGTAGTGTAGTTTAATATTAAATAGCATTAGAAATATTTATTGCATTCCTTAAACAACAGTACATTTCTTTGTTTACAGTTAACTATAATTAATAGGACAAGCCAAAGTTGTATAAGAAAATTTCCTAAATTAAATAAAATTATAATCATTCATATTAAAAACTTAATGTACAATAAAAAAAAAANTGCTAAAAATTTGAAGAGTTAAAATATTTCAAAAAATTATTTATTAATGTTAGATTGTTAAGTCTATTACAGACTTGAAGTTGTTGTTTTGTTCTCTCAAATTCTTAATACTGCATAACTAACACAGTTAAATAGTATTTCAAAGTCCACACAAATTAGATATAATACTAGATGTATACCCTCTCAGATTGCATTAAAAGCTTTTTTATAATGCAAGTACTTCAATGATATAAAATTGCTATCATCAGGCTAATGAATGTTTCAAATTTAGAATTGAATGTCATTACGTGCGGTATAATATCCTCAGTATTTAAATATTCTAAACATTTCAATTTCACAGCAGAATTCGTGGCTCATGAGTATGAGAAAGAATGAAATTTGAAATAAAAGGCAAACAAAAACAAAAGGTACAACAGAATTTTCAAAACATTTTTTTATGGAATGAGTTCATGGTACGTTATAACATGGACAACTAGGGTTATGTGGCATCATGGCTGAAAAATTTAAAAAGCACAATCTACAAGTTAGGAAGCTCAAGTGTGAGTATTCTGCATAAGCACAAAATGGAAGTGAAGAGGGTTTCCCAAATAAATAATGCCCTACAATTAGTGCAACACTGAGGAGAATGGTTTGAGTGCACAAGGGATTGAAATTAGACTGCATGACTTTTCTGATCAGCTCTATCGAACATCTATATTTTGCAATATCCCTCCTCATTTCCCGTGCAATACATCCACATTTGAGCTTCTTAACTAGTGGTTTGCATTTTTTAAATTTTTCAACCATGATGCCACACTACCCTAGTCATGCCATAAAAAAATGTTTTGAGAGTCCCATTGTGCCTTTTGTTTTTGTTTGCCTTTTATTTCAAACTTTGTTCTTTCTTGTACCCACGAGCCTTGAATTCCACTGTAAAATTTAAATATTTAGAACATTTAAATGTTGAGAATGTTGTACTGCATGTAATGACATTCTGTTCCAAATGAAAAACATTCATTAGTCTGATGATGATAATTTTGTATCGTTGAAAGTACTTGTGTTATAAAAAAGATTTAAAGTATTAAAATCTTTTTTATAACACAAGTACTTTCAATGATCTAACAGTGTGTGCATCTAGTATTATAATTAATACAACTATTTTAAAATCTAAAAGTGACAATTGATTTTGCTCTATGTTATATTTGGGACTTAGTATGATCCCCATTGTTCTGCAATGCTCTCCTCCCTGTTGCATTTTATAATAATTCTTTACATAAAGAATAAAGATTAGTTTTTTATCATTAACTGAAATTTTTGAGCCTTATAAATGTTTGTTCTGAAGTCATTATCATAAATGTCATAAATAAATAATGCATTTTTGAATGTCAGAAAGTCTGTTAATTACTGTCTATGCTAAAAATAAAAATAATTATTCATGATGCCAACTTCAATTTTATTTCTATTAATCAACATATTGCATCAAGTTTAAAATTGTAAATGCTAGTCTGTGATGATGATAAGTTCAAAAATTAAAGCATTATTTTAATCTAAAATATTTTTATGTTAACTTATCAGTTTAGTGTTACATGGCAAATTGTATGTTAGGCCTATTTAATTATATGCATAATTTAATTTGAATTTTCCAAACTATATAATAATATAGTTTGGAAAATTCAAATTATATA